CGGCCCCTTACGTGGAAGGAGCTAGCCTCGCGAGTAGGCGTGGAAACACCAAGGAGCAAGTCCGGACAGCGTGACAGCGCAACAGCCCCGCAGCTACAGGAGCCAGCAGGGCTCAAACCTAATATGGCAAAGTAGGGACGGGAGACGGCGAGGGTGCAGCGCAGGCAGACACTGCGCAGGCGCAGAGCGCCCGGGCTTGTCAGAAATGCGCGCTTCTAGCGCAGGCGCTGTGGGTTACAGAAGGTGGTTTGTTCGTTCACCGTTCATTCAACAAATAGTTCTTCAACACCTAATATGTGTCAGGCTCTGTTCTAAGCACCGGAAAAACAACAGGGAGTAGAACAGACCAAAAAACAAACAAACAACAAAAACCCAAACCCGCACTGATGGAGCCTTGCCTTGCCTTCCCATTCATGCGACAATGCCTTGGCGCTTTATAATTTATTACATGTGTTCCATAGCTAGAATAGGATTCTTTTTTTTTTTTTGCCTTTGAGCGCCAACTATATGTCAGTCAGTAAGCAAAACAGACTGTTAGTTCTGATTACTGTCAAATTATCATTCAACCAATGCAAACTGTGGAGATGCAATGAATGAAAAAAATTCAGGGAGTTAGGATCGTTTTAGATCTTCTAGCAGAAATTATAGCCAGTAATACAGTTGGTCAATTAATAATTCATGGTGAATTCAATATCTACATAGTTAATTCCTGCAATGTCTATGCAGCCTCTCAGTTTCTAACCTTAGTAATCACTAATAACTGTGTACTCCGCAGGGTCAGCTTCAAGAAGCCCACTTTACCACCCCGTCATTCCAGCTTACCTTTCCTAGTGCCAATAATTCTTCATCTTCAATAGAACTCTCACCTTTTTTCTATTTCTCTGCTCACATTCACACCCTCTCTATACACTGTATAAATTCCGTGCTCCATCAGTTTAGCTACTCTTTCGCATAGACCCTCAGTCTCCCTGCCCCTCTCTCCTTCCTTTCTCCTTGCCTGGAAAAACCCCAACCCTCCATCTACTCTGGAACTGCTCTTGGGCAAGTGAATGAAGCTCAAGAAAAACAAACCAGCATGCTAACATTACCCATCTTAATGATAATAAACATCAAGGAGAACTTTGGTGTTGCTGGGCAAATGTACAATATTTACCCGGTAAAATCACCCACTCATTTGGAAGGCTGTTCACACCCTCCTTCTTCTCAAAACTCAGAACACAATACAGTCTCCCTGCCTGCCAACTCCTACTTCTTGTTTAATAAAAAATAGTAATTAGAAAAGATCTTCCATTTGCCTCACCACCCCATCAACCAATTACCTGAATCTGTTCCCAAATATTCTGTTTTTTCTCTTGTGTCAATGGGTGAACTGGCCTTGGCCCTTTCCCCATCTATCCTCACTCCCTTATTTAATCTCATAGATATAAACACCACCCAGGCATGAGATCTCCCATCATCCCATTGTCTAGCTTGAGCTTCTTTATGTGCAGGCTACAGCATTCCCAGAGGGTGAAAATGAAGCTACAGGTTCATAAGGCCTAGGCTCCCAGGACCGTCTCACATCACTTCTGCCACATTTTATTGGTCAAAGCAAGTCACAATGGAAGTCCAGATTCAAGAGTTTGGAAAATAGAAGAACTGCAAAATACTGTAGCTGTCCAGTCCACTGTAGCCCTGGGATGACCGATTAAGTACAAGAGGACTGTTACCGATGCCTTTATCGGAAACAGGAAAGCTTTACTTTTTTAAGTGAAATTAGACTTAATAACTACCCAGTGCCATTTAAAACAATTGAAAGTGCCCAGATGCTTTTCTAAGGGATCTTAACCTTTTCCTCATTCTCACTTGTTCACACATTCATTTATTAAGAATTTCCTCTTAAACTCTACACAAGGCACTGCTCTTACATACCCAGGACATAATTGTGAGCAAGGGAATACAGGGGAGGAAACGAATATCTTTCTCTACCCATCCTAGGTTCTCAGTTGGGGCCCTGTAAATTTGGCTGGCAAAGACAGAGCAACAGGTGAAAAAGCATACACATTTATGTAATATAAATTTTATGTGACAATATAACCTTCATGAGGAAATGAAGACTCACAAAAGCTGTTAAATCTGAGTATTTTTATTCTAGGTCTGGTGAAGGGTGGAAGGTCATGGGAAAGCGTGACAGGACAGAGGGTATGAGTTGAGTGCAGCAAACGGGGAAACTGAGCAAGGCCTTCACTCAGATTCCCCTCAACATTCCTCTGTCTTCAGATAAAGATGTTCCTTTCCTTCAGATCTGGGGAGAGCAACTCTCACATAGGGTTGATGGAGTTCAGGACATGCTACCCCAAAATATGGCACCTTAGCATATTGAATATATTAAGCTGAAGGAGTTTGAAAAACAGCAGAAGCAAGGTCACTCTGACCTTCCCCCACTTTACTCCCCCTGAAACAGGTCGTAAAACCCTCATATGACAGGTGCCCTCCTTATACCCAGAGGAAAGGAGCCTGCTTATCTCCAAAGACAAAGGGACAATAAGAAGCCTTTAAACAAACAGGCCTTCCTAAGTCTCCCCAGTTTACTATACTTATTTCATACTCCTTAACCTGTCATGTTCCTCTACAACTGTCTACTCTTCATCGAATCCAGCAGAAATGTACTCAGGCCTCACTGTTTCTTCAGGTCTTCATTTCCTTATGAGGGCCCTGTGTCACCTAAAACTTATATTAAATGAACTTGCATGTCTTTATCCTGTTAATTTTTATCAGTTTAATTTTCAGACCCAGCCAGGGATCCTAAGGGGGCTGAGGAAACCTTCCTCCTCCCCTACAGGATCTTAGGACCTGCTTCAGGGAGATCTTCCTGCACCTGCCATTTCTCAAATTCCTCAACTTAAAATATTCTATATGTCAATCTGTCATATTTTAGGGTAGCCTGTTCTGAACTCCATCAGGATATAATGCCTGCCCTCATGGAAATTATGATCTATGAAGGGACACAAATATTAAACCTCATTTTATTTAAGCATCAACACAGAAAGAATGAAAAAGAAGAAGAAAGTTATGATAGCCCTGTGACATTTGAGGGTTCTATGATCCCAAAGACCTTTGACTAGGGAACTGTGTAAATACTAACTCACCTTCACAGTAAAAGGGGCAAGAAGAGGGAGAATGGGGACAATAAAGGGGTGACACAAATACCCCCACTTTCATCCTTCTCCCACCCCTTCCTACAATAAGATTCAGGTAGGGATTGAGCTAGAGGAATTTATACTGGGAAGTCAGCTTGGATGATCTGGGAACAGAAAGCTTGGACCAAATAAGCAAAGAACAAAAAGTGTAGATTTTCAAACTAGACCTGATAGCACAACTCAAGCATTGGTGATCCATGAAAGTGAGTCTTGGTATCTCAGCAGCTGCTACCAGAACCTAAGCCAAGAAGGTTGTCTTTGTGCCTTCAATCCATCTCCTGCTTCCTCCCCTCCTTCCAGGCCATCTCTCACTTTCTATCCTGGACCCTTTCAGACACTTAATGCCCCCCCTCTTCCTACTGGCTCTAGCCCAAGTGAGCCCATCTGAATCCATACTTTCCTTTTTCTAAAAATGTTTTTCCTTTATCCTGCCTCAATAAATATTTACATTCCCAAGTGCTCTACTTATTTTGATCTGACTAAAGTGGTTCCCACCCAAGTATGAATGAAGCTTAAAACAGAGCTTGCTATCCCAAATCGTTTTCTATTGGTGGACTGAAGTCTGGGACAGTTCTTTGTGCCTGGGTCCTCAGGTTCCTTGCATACACAAACCTGCATCCTGTCCTAGTCAGGTCTGCTACCAGGAAGCAAGATTCTCAGACCCATGTCCCTCAGTTCAGTGAAATGAAAGGTGTTTGTCATCACTTGGGGGGAGAATTTGGTCCATAAACTGACTATTTTAACACAAAAATCATAAAATGGGGAAACACAAGAGCTCCTGTCTTTAAGTTTTGTGTGTTTATTTAATTACTAGTGCCTCATTAGTGTTGCTTTCTTTTATTTGTGTTTTTTTTGTAAATATACTGCTACCTTTATAAATTAGACATTTCTGAGGCTTGGGCCAAGAGTTTAACCATAAGTTATAAAATTATTTCTCTGGGCAAATATATTCTGAGTTTTAAAAACACTTAAACTTATAGGGTTAGGGACAGAATTAGGGTTAGGGTTAGGGACAAGGTTAGGGTAAGGGTTAGGGTTAGGTTTAAGGTTAGGGTTAGGGTTAGGGTTAGGGTTAGGGTTAGGGACAGGGTTAGGTTTAGGGTTAGGGACAGGGTTAGGGTGAGGGTTAGGTAAATGGCTAGGGTTAGAGTTAGTGTTAGAAAAGGAAAAAATATATAAAATAAAATAAACAAAAATAAAAACACTTAAACTTAGAACAAATCCTATATAATTTGACAGTTTCCTCGCCTTGGAATATGATTTTAGAAAATTATCTTTGGCTTTTGTTGTGATAAAACTGATAGATGCCATTATGATCTGTATTTATTTGGTAAGTAGTAATGAATCCACTCATGAAGAATTACTCTCAGATCTTTATGAGATGAATATGGAGAATTATTTCTCCAGATTCACATGTCTAATGTGTGCTCAATAGCTCCACTCAGAAGTCTCAAGTCTCAAACATAACCTGTCCGAATCTGAACTCCTGGTGTTCTCCAAACTTGCTCTTCCTTCATCTCACCCACGTTAGTTGATGGCAACTCCATCCTGCTT